CATGAAAGAAAGAATGGATGAGCTGGACTTCATTAAAATTAATAACGTCTGCTCTGTGAAAGACAATGGCAAGGGAATGAGAAGACAAGCCACAAACTAGGAGAAGATATTTGCAAAAGACATACCTGATAAAGGACAGTTATTTAAAATATATAACACTCTTAAAACTCAACAATAAAAAACAAACAACCCAATTAAAAAATGGCCAAAGACTTTAACACCTCACTAAAGAAGATATACAGATGGCAAACGAGGATATGGTACAAATGAAAATGGTACAAATATATCACTCTGATGGAGGGTATTGATAATGGAGAAGACTATGCAAGGGTTGGGGCAGAGGGTGTATGTAAAAATCTCTGTATTTTCTGTTCAACTTTGATGTGAATGTAAAATTACTCCAAAGAAGAAAGTTTAATTAAAAAAAATCATATGATACTGTTTCAGATAGGAAGATCAAGTTAAGTGTCTGAAGAAATGACAACGAAGCTGATATTTGTCTAATGGGTAGGTGTCAGAACTGGGGGAGGACTAATGCAGGCAGAGGGGAGAACAGTGCAAAGGCTATAAGGACATAGTTTAGTGTACTTAGGGACTGTAAGGAGGTCCGGGTGACGGGAAGGCAGAAAGAATCAAGGCTGGAGTGGTAGGTAGGGGCCAGATGGCCTGATATTCTAAAGAGTCAAGATTGGTCTAGATTTTATTTTAAGATATTTATTGGTTAATCCATCTATTTGTCCTTGTCTTTGCAACTTCTTCATTCCTTTTCTGCTTCTTTATAACATTTCATATCAACTATACACCCAAGTTCAAACCATTTCTACATGTGTGTGGATTGGACTGTGGAAGAAAGGAAAAAAAGTATTTTGTTTTAGAGAATATTGGAATAGTTGAAGGGAATGTTCTAATGTCTGGACTTGGAAATTCGAAAGGGCAGCTCAGAGAGTGAGGTGAGTGGAGGAGGAGGGTATGAGAGGGAGTACTTAGAAGTGTATATCCCACAACATTTTGTGTTAAAGGCACTGTTCCCTTCCCCACCCCTCATATTTAAATAAATGTTACATGGAACACAGATTAATATTAGCTTCCTGCTTTGAGGAGCCAGAATTAGAGGAACATGTTTGAAATTACAAGGAGGCTATCCTCTTAATATGTGACAGTTTTATAAACATAATGGCCAAAAATGGATTTTAGTGCCAGAGGGGTTATCTAGCTCTGAGAATGTCTGAGTATGGGTGACATTACTACTTATTCTGGATAGCATGAAGAAATTAAAACACACAGGAGCCAGATGGATCTGTCTGACCCTTAACACTTCTTCCTACTCTAATTAAAAAAAAGTTGATCTTATAATTTAAACAAAATCCGTTAGGCATAGTGTTAGAGTCACTGAAAACATGTGGCAGTATTCTTAAAAACAATAGGAAAGAGGTGAGAGAAATAACTTTATAGTTTTGGAAGATGGCCAGAGATGATGAATATATTTTGAATATCTTATCCTATAGAAGAGACAAGGCATGATGATTGACATGAGGTAATTAATAGCAACTATATTTGCAAAGTAACCATAGTTGCATTTGCAGAAGCTTAAACTTAGAGAAGTCAAGATAGAAATATTTCATATTAACCAAAGGCTGCATTAGAGACTTATGGGAGAGGAATTAGGGACAGAAGTATTATGCATGCATGGAAGGATCTTGACACTAGGAACTCTTCTGATGGTGAGTTCTGAGAGATTTGGAGTGTAGAGAAACTACTAATGAGATTTCCCAGTAAAATGGCATTTAAAACAAGAAGATGAGAATTCCTCAACACTGAAAATATTCAAGGAGAGGCTGCTTGCATGTCTTTGGAGATGTATTATAGATAGTGTGTTAGGCCAAGAAAATTTAGAAATACGATTTCGATTTGGAAACAGACTTTCCAAGACTCAGCCTTTGTTAAACGACATTCATAATTCATTCACATTCTGCTAGTTTCGCTGAATGGGTTAAAGGCTCAAATATAGACATCCGAACGTGGGATTTTTTTTTTAGCAGATCAAGCATTTTAAAGGTAGAGAATACTGCCTAGTTGTTTGAGGAGTCAGATCAAATTACATTTGACTCAGATTGAATTGACATCTAAGTAGAAAAAGGATAAAGAAGGAGAAAGTGTATTTGCATACATGTGGTTCTCATAGTACCTTTAGAAAGTCATGAATCAGGAAGGACCATTTTATGATGAATGACACATTACTCATCTTTGCTGCAATCTTCAACTGCAATACGGTCACCTTCCCAAAGGAGACTGACTTTACTTTTACATAGCAATCCTACGACAATCTTGGAATGCAGACTACTTACTCCCTCTCAAACATGTAGACCTGTTTTCAAGTTTGGTGCTTCTAATTTCAATAGATGTTCATGCTTACTGAGCCTCAGAATAAGCCGTGAAGCCAAGCTTTGTGACATATTGCTTTAGTCTGTATTTTTACAGAAATATTATTGTTTAAAATGCTTCAGGCAAGGTGCAGTGAGGTCACTTACACATGTGGTAGTTCATTTTCTAGGGGAGTTGGGTCATTGTGAAAAACATTAACACACACACGTACTCACACACACACTAAAACCATAGCACCTATAAAGTAAAATCTTATACTTTAATTTTTAGTATAATAAATGCATCCATACAAGTAAATGTAGATCTTTGAAAAGCTGTTTATTTGGGAATGCTTATGCTTAGATAAAAGAAAAGGGAAAAATAAAGAGAATGTACTGTCTCCGCTATATATTAGGATCTGGGCTATACCCTTAGACCTATAGAAAAGATATAGGAAATATATCTTTTCTATAGGTCTCTTGATAAATTTTTAAATACCATGTAGTTATTTTTATTTAGCAGTTGCAGAAACTAAGGTTTATAAACTTAAGGACATTTTCCATGGTCAAATAATTAGTATATAGCTCAGCCAGTAAATGAATCAATTTGTTTGCCGTGACAAGCTGTATTTACCACAGAGCCCCTGAAACTTTGAAGCGAGATGTACAAGTTATCAACTTACTGCCTCTGAGCTTCAAGCTCACCCTTCAGCATATGCTCTATGATAACTTAAGATGGAATTCCTTTAAGCATTTCTTGTTTAGTGCGAACATGGGCATTAAGCTTTCTTAGTAGAGCCTGCTGCAGAGATATTGTAGGAGCAAGCAATTCTGCATTTTTTGACTGCAGCTTTGGAAGGAAGTACATGGTGTTAGCAGTGCGACAGCTGGTGAGGATCTACTCAGCAATGGGTCCAGAATAGGTTGGATCCTCAGTGATGTTGGAGCTTGGAGCTTGAGCCTGGCAATAACCTTTAATTGACCCCTCTCTTGATGAAACCCAGTGCCTTGAAAATTTCTCATGCATGAGTCTCCATAGGCTTCCTGTACACACAGACACTCAGCTTCCCTATACAGGCTGCTCTCCCATCGTCTGCTTGTGGTCCAGGTTTCCCCAGACCTTCTCTAATTCCATACCACCTGTTGCTAATTGTTTTTTCACCCCGAGTTGTCTCCTGCTTGCCCAGTAACTGGCCAAACTACTGAACGTCTCTCCTATCCAGTAGGCAGGGGTACCCTTTTAATTTCTTTCTTCCTTGAGTATTCTAATAATTTTTTTTACATTAACCTTTTTCTATTTAACCTACAGGATGGTTTCTATCTCCTGATTGGACCCAGATAGCTGCAGAGATCTCTAGTTTTAGGAGTTCTCGTATATATATGGAAATTGGATCAGTGGTAACAGACAAGATTTACTAGTGTGTAAAGGGAAAAACTAAGATGGAGGATAAAGAAACCATAAAAAGCCCCAAACCTGGGAAAAAATAAAGATTTGTTAATGAAAGAAACTTAATGGACTAGAAGTCTACTTGTCAGGGAAACAAGGGGGAAATATAATATCAAGTTAAAAGTAAGGACGAATAATAAATACCATGACAATTTCAACTATTATTAATGTTATGATTATAAGGTATCCAACGAAAGTAGTATAAGTAAATATCGTTACTAAAATATTATTTGATGGAGAAGACAGGTGAGAATAAAATCAAGAAAATATTACAGAGTCTGGAAGTTTAAATAATGATTGATTACATTTTAGTGTGGAGAATGGATATATAGCACAAACATGAGACCAGTCAGAAAACTCATGAACAGATGGCCATTTAGGAACTGGACTTTAATAAATAAGTTATTAAACCAAGACATTTTTCCTCACTCTAAATTGAAATTCTTGGAAAAGTTTGTCCTTTTTGTTTAAGCAATCAGTAATAAATTTTACATAACTTACCCATTAGGAGTTTAACAAAACTTTTTGCCCCAAAGAAGGAAATGTTATAACCTGACTGGAAAAGTAGGGGATAGGCAAATTTTACTGCAGAGAGAAGGAGAACATTTCAGGGAGTGTATATAACATGTTGAAATACTCAGTTCCTTATCCAAAATCCATAAAAAGTGAATATAATGGGAAAAAAACCCCAAAATATTAAGACAGAAAAAAAAGAAACCAAAATGATATGATGCTGCTGATGCTGCTGATGATGAAGAGGATGGTAATCGTAGAGAGTGTAACTTCATGTTTAATAGATGATTTCTAAGATGTTGAAAGGGCTAAGTAATAAACACATATTTGTAGGTCAAATATATTTTGGTGATGTTTTATGTCATGGTCACTTAGTGCAATTATGAAAGATAAAATTATGGTTGTTAAAGTGTGGATGCTTAGGAAATGTATCTTTATTTTGTTTTAAAGCTTGAGAAAATGTCCAGGATAGTAGTAAATAAATTACGACATTCTAACAAAATTGTTGTACACAGAATGAGCTCATTTTAGACAAGTAGTTGTAAAATGAGAGAACAGAGCCCATGTGAGGTATGACCCATCCATCCCCAGAAGTATATAAAGGTTCTGGGAAAGTAGGCGATCCTCACACTTCAGAAATACCCTCCTACACCTCAACTGAAACCTCACCTCCTGACACCATGTATTGCAACTACTATGGAAACTCCTGTGGGGGCTGTGGATATGGCTGTAGCTATGGCTCTGGCTGTGGATATGGCTGTAGATATGGCTCTGGATATGGCTGTGGCTGTGGCTATGGCTCTGGCTGTGGGTATGGCTGTGGATATGGCTGTGGCTCTGGCTCTGGCTGTGGATATGGCTCTGGATATGGCTGTGGCTATGGATGTGGGTATGGCTCTGGCTGCTGTGGCTACTAGCCATTTTGCTATAGAAGATGCAATTCCTTTTGCTGCTAATCATCACTAAAGATCATGCTGTGCCTTTGAAACAATCACTCCGAGTCCAGTTGGAATTTCCTTATTTATTAATGTCACACCAAAGTAAAGAATTATTGTCTGTCGGGACCCTGATTAACCTCAAAGGAGCTGCTTGCAGTTGATGGACACTCAGTAGTTCTATGACATCACTGAAGACACAAGATCTTATTCTGATCATTTTTCAAATGTAAATTCTTGCAGCTTTTTTCCTGTCTCTGTACCATTGCTACTTGCACAAGAACAGGAAGACTATACAATTGGAGTCTACTAAAATGGAGCAAAAATAGCAGTTTCTTAATAAAAGTTTTTATTTACTAACAAGTCTGGTTTTCTTTAACTCAGAGTCATCATTAATTTCAGGGTTTGTGGCCTCCTGGAAAGCTGGGTGACCAGGTTAAAGATAAGACTTAGGATAAGTCTATGTGTTTTTAATGATTGAATTCGAATATCGGTTCTTTTACATATTTCTTAATAAATTGTATGTTCATTTATTATATTACATCTAAACATAAACACAGATATCACACTCAGCATTTCTTTCTTTCTTTCTTTCTTTCTTTGGATAAAGCATTATTAGAACAGGGAGGCCAATTAGAAAGGGAAATTAATCTTAAGGCTAATCTACTAGTCCAGGACAGAAGTGATTGGTTTGATCCAGTTCGAGGTGCACTTTGAGGCATCCTATCTGATA